CCGCCATGCTGAAGCAGTAAGTCGGGTTGGCCAGACGGAAACGCATATGGGCGTCTTCTATCGAGCCAGTCTGTCTTGAGGATGGCTCGATAGAAGACGCCCATATGCTTTTCCGTCTGGCCAACCAGACTTACTGCTTCAGCATGGCGGACTTCGCTGAGATTCTCGGGGTTCCACAAGGAACCACGAGTATGTGGCCAGACATCCCCACACAGGCATACCATCAGTTCTGGAGGACTATTGCATCGCATGATGCATCGAGGAGAAAAGGGAAGTCTACATGGATCAGACATCCGACAGTACAATACCTGCACATGTTTATGTCCAGAGGTCTATTTACTAGAGGAGATCAGGGTACGTCACGACCCTGGAGGTATGTTTGCTACGCCGAGCACTTAGAGACGCATTTGATGGCGAAGATTGGGGGATGTCGGAGCTAGACGTGGCGTCTAAGGTGGCTCTACACATTCATTGGGGCGTAGAGAAAGGCTCTGCCCAAGTTTCCGTTGTGGACAGGTGGCATCGTATCCATGATCGTCCGGAGAGTGGGGATCAACTTGGGGATGAGATTGGGCGCTATCGATGGTCCTACAGAGCTGGATCTAGAGACTCTCTTCCTGAAGAGAGCTATCGAGAACCCAACTCGCACTCGATACGCATGGAAGTATCTGGACGAGAACACCACGCCACAGACAGTCACTTTACCCACGATCGAGCTACCCCCACTAACTATCGAGGGATTACACTTCCGAGTGCTACCGCAGCAGGCCCCAAGGAGACGCCAGTCGGACCCTCTTGCCCCTCATCCAGACCACGAGACTACTAGAGACCTCCCAGAACACGACACACCAGCTGAGGAGCTAGTTGAGGACATCGTCGAGCCGAGCCAACCTAGATTGAGCCGCAAGAGATGCAGAGAGACATCGGAAGCTTCTTCTTCATCGACATCAGCTACTCGGGCAGATATCCAGGGGTTGCAGAACATGATACTCCGTCAGTTCAGTGCCATGAACACCCGATTGACTACCTGGAGCAACGGATGGACACCCAGGAGCAGCACATGAGCTCCTTAGAGGAGTTAGTGGCGTCCTTGCTTACAGAGACAGACCCACCGCCACGTCGCGCGACACCACCACCGAGAGACACCGACCACATGGACACTGAGGATGGAGCCCAGTAAAGCTCCTGGGCAGATGTATCAGGATCTTCTTTTCTTTCTTTTTCACTTTTTCTGCATTTTGGGACCTCTGACTTGAGTTGTTATTTTGCTATGTTGTCTTGCATGCTTGACTGCTCAAGAAATCTGGAATCTCCAATGGAGTCTCCTCCTTCTTCTTTCTCCTCCAAGAGTTTTTCTTTTCTCTCCCAAGGTCTCTATTTTCGACCCCTTTCGAACTTAGGGTTCTTTTGCCTCTTTTCCCCTCAAAAACCCGAAGAGAAACGCGAAACGGCGTAGCTTTTGACGGAGTGTGTGCAGTAGTCCGTCGGGTCTGGCTTGGTCGGTTCGTCCGTTCTGGATGTGAAGACCGTCCGGTCTGCGTTGTGTTCCAGTCCGTCGGGTCTAGCTTTCCGGTTCAGTTCGGAGGGATAGTCTTGTGGTCCATCGGGTCTGTGCATCCAGTCTGTTCGGTCCGCCATATGTGGTTTGTCCGTTCCAGACCTAAATCTGGGGAATTATGCTTCTGTCTTCTCCGTTTCGTCCCGAAAACCCTCGATGTCCCATCGGGTTCCTGCAATGGTCAAAACCTAGTCCCAGAGACCTAAAGATGGCTCTAATATGCCTAGAGTGTGTGGAAACCATTTAGAAGCAAAGGGCATACTCGTATAAAATCCAGATAAAATCCGAGTCATCATGTATGAGCTTGCATTTGCTTCTCCTTCCCATACATATTGCTTATCAGACTTTGGGCTCTTAGTAGTGACTGTGACCTACCACATGAAGGTACATACTTATACAGTTTCAAGACAATGGAATGGAGAATAACAGAGTCTACATAAATTAAGACCATCCAAGGCAAAAACATACCCAATCTGCAACCAAGAAAGTTGAATAGAACCCTACACCAAATTGACCGATTAAATTGTTGCTTCCACCAGCATCTTTGCTATTCTGAACATTATTAAAACGTCTCTAAGCCCATCCAATGATTTTCGGTAAAAGACCCGAGACAGTGATATTTGAAAAACCACTCAAACGTTTAACGCTTTCAGGAACTTGGCAGTTCCACTTTGAGCAATAGTCCCAAGACAATCAACAAGTTCTTGTCATGTCATTCCGATTCCAGAGTCACTGAAAAATATGAAAAGGGAAAGCTTTAGCATATGAGTTTTCAAAGTACATGCCTCCTTTATTCACCATTATCCCCAACAGAAAGTTGTATATTCACACAGAAATCCAATAGACCCACGTGATAGTTAATACTCCATTATCCTTATCAATGTGTATACGTATGTCAAGATCGACGGAGTCATTCAAAAGCTCAGGCTGTGTGACACTCAGATACCGCAGCTTGTCCAAGGCATCACTTGCGTTGCTGTTGTACAATAAACCAATGTCAGCATAGTTCAAAACTGAAAGAAAGATGATGAAAAACAGTGAAAATACCACAAGTGTCCCGTTCTCTAAAGCGGTACAAAACCATAGAGAACATATCTGATAAGCTCACGGAGAAACACCTCCTTGTTGCTATACAAGCTGTTAACAATGAGGTCCATGAGGCGTGTCGAGAGCCACAAACATCAGTGACCGGCAAACATTATCACAATGTAAGCTCTCTATTCGACCCGAAATTAACATACTTCAGCCTGATACTCGAATTTCTCAGCTGGTGGTGGAGACTGGGAGGAAGAATCCTGTGCTGCAGCGGTTGATTCATTCCGACGTCCAATAACCAAGTTGGTTTCCAGGTTCAATTCAGGTGTGGAGCCAGTTGTTTTACATTTTCCATTGGTTAAAGTGGAATACCATCTGAACTCAGCATCAAATCTCTCCACAGCCTGAAACAGATAACAAACCCATTAAAATATGATATCCCCAGCAGCAAAATTTGGGAACAAATTCACAATTTAAACCCATTTTCCAAACATTTGAAACCTCAGGTATTGACCAGAGACCGTTAATTCGACAACCAAAAGGATATTTAGCCAAAACCCAAATGAACATCAAGCCCCAAATCGAGAAAGAAACAAATTTCACAACAACCCACTAGAAAAAAAAATCCCCACGAAAACGAAGCATGCGAGATCATTTCTAATGAGTATACAGTTGCAGACGAGGGAAACGGCCGAGAGAGCGGTGCTGCGGCGGCGATGCGGAGGCGCCCACCGCCGGAGCGGAGAATGGTGGAGAAAGAACGCTTCGAGAGCCTATGCATAGTCGTGATTTTTTCAGATTCCGGCGAGAGAAACGACCGAAGGAGCCAACCCAGAGCAAAGCGAATTATAGCCGTTGGCCCAATAGGAAGCTTCTGGACATGAGGGGTATTTTAGTAAATCAATGGAACAGTGGGTTTAATTTAACCGTTTGGGTTTCCTGGCAGGATTCAAAGCTTCTCGACAGAAGGGCTAATTCAGTCATTGTCTACCATTTTTTTTTTGTCAAATCATTGGCTACCATTTTTGTTGTTACCTGTTTTTTTTTTCTCCCAAAGCATTTGGATCTTGACCGAACTAAACGCTAACACCCGTAGTCATAGATATCAAGATATTGTTCCAGACAACAAATATTTTAATTTTAACTTTTAAGCACAAAGATCTAAATTTTTTTTGGTTGAATGTTAAATATATTTACCGAAAAATTGGGTTACAATCAGTTCCTAACTGAATACAAACACTGGAATCCCATGCGTATGCGGAGCAAAATCCGAAGGCAACATGTTATATCTACTAAGGTGGTATATCAGGAGCTAAATAGTACCGGTTTTGTAGTTGTTCGTTTCCAACCATCGGACAAAGATCTAAATTATAATTCTAACGCTAATTAATATAAACTTAAACAAGAAATAATTGTTATACCACCCAGAACGAAAACTCGAACCAATGCTCCAAGCTCGCAACACCTAATCGCACGAATGTACCTGCAAAACATGAACAACCAGCAACCAACAAACACAACAATCAAAGAGAACAAGACACAGAAGTTTACGAGTTCAAATCCAAGCGTTGTGTTTGGTCTTACGTCTCGGGAAAGGTCTGGGTCGTTTATTGCTTCTAGGGTTTGCGGGATTTCGGGAGAATTTTACAGATCGCCAAGAGAGAGAGTTTTTTTTTCTTTCTCGGATCAAGAACGAGATATCAGAATACCCTCCTCTTTTCACCTGAACATATATTCAACTAATTCACTCACTCAAATTACCAAAGTGCCACTGAGTCGTCAAATCCACCGAGCTTCAACGCGACGTCGTCTTATTAAATCTTGGAAGCCTCTGCTCGAGTCCAAAGCTTCCAACACAGCTCTCAGTTCAGAAAAATAGTCAGAGAAAATTACAGATACGTTCTTCAATAATCATAGAAATTTAATTGAAAAGTTAGATAAATTTTTTAATCTGAATAAATTTTATATATTTAAAAACATGGTAACAGATAATATAACATATTTGATATTTTTATTTATAATTTATTTTTTAATCTAAGGTTCCAATTTGGGTTTTTGGTACATATTTTTCTTTCTGATACATATCTAAACTCTAAAGTTTTAATTTGTCATTGAAATTATCATCAAATACCATTTTGGGCTTCGATCACATATCTGATACATATGGCATAAGCTTTTATGACCAACATATTACACAGCCAGGATTCACAGCAAGTTTGTAAAAAAAAAAAAAGGAGTTGATCAAAGAAACTACAATACAAACAAACCCACATTTTTCTCTCTCTTTCTTGTAAAACCGGCAAGAGCATAAAAGCCAAGTCCCAGTTAGGGTTCCAGCTTGAGGGATACAACACGAGATTGCCGGTTCCGTCTGGCCGCCTTGACAAAGACTGCCGAGAGGCAAGAAGGCGCCCACCATGGCCGTCGAACCTTCTGCTCGCCTTTCAAGCATGCCACTGCCAGAATTTTCATTCAGCCGTAATCACACTGATGGGAAGAAATGAATGGATGCAGCTTTTTCGGAAGAGACGTTAAGGGGAGAAAGGAAGAACCTTTAATCCGTCTCAGCTCTTTGCAGAGGCTGATGAAGTCTCCCCGTTTCATGTGACACCTCCTTATGAAGCGGAGGATCTGTTCGGTTGTGAACATAGACATGCTCTCTAGATATTCTCCGTTAACGCCGTTCTCTTTGAATATCCGCCGGGTAGCCTCCCAAGTTTATCTCCTCTAGCCACATCCCGACATCCTTTCAACACAAGTACAACCTATAAGTGGTTATGCTAAGTTTGTCTTCTTCAGTTGCACTGATCAGACAAAACCCAGCATCAGATTCATAGCCTAACGTACGGTTTCTCCACCCGAATAACTAGCTCTTCAAGAATCGACTAAAATGAGGGTATTCGTAATTTCAAGACCACTGCAGAAACCACTGATAACATGTGGAGAGCTATTTCAAAGTACACATCACACAAATGCAGAGAGCCTCAGACAAGCAGCAAAGTTCGACGCTGAGACAGCTGCAACAGCCAGATGAGTCCATAGAACCAAGAGAAGGTCATCACTTTTGTCGGAATTCTATTCAGTGGAGCTTGCGTGATGTAAGTTGCATTTAAGTTCAGACAGTTGAAGAATCTCTTGTTCTTCCAGAATCTACCCCAAAGTACCAAAATAGCGAATCAAGCTCCCGATTTGTAAACTTGAAATCTGACATATGGGATCAAACATCAAGAATTCAGAATTTCCAGAGTGATCAGCATCCAACTGGGGAACAAATCAACTAGTCTGATCTCCATAGGCTGAACTAACACCAAACTAGGGAAATCCCCACAAAACATCACAAATTCACGACAAAAACCAAGCTCAAACTACAACCCTCGAACCCTAATGGCCGAATTTTAAGCTGGGAATAAAAATCTGATGGCGGGACTACCTCAACAGTCCAGAGTCCAGACGAAGAAATCAAGCGGCTCAGGCGGGCGTTCTTTGCTCGTATCCTTGAGAACGAGAAATTCAACCTGCAATCATTCCCAGAATCCACAGCCACGCCGAAATTTCATCAATCAATCGTAACAAAGAACGAAGGGGTAAACCCACGATTTCCCCTTCTCCTCCGCCCAATGACAAACAAGCAAAAGGCCTACCGAAGCGACACCTGGTAAGCTCTCCAAATTTAAGCTTTAAAACCTGGAAAAGTTTTTATCCCTTTTTTTTTCTCGGGAAACAAACAGAAAGATAAAGAAAGAAGGGGGGGGGGGGGGGGGG